TGTCATCTCACTTGAGTTAAAATGACAATCATCAGGAATACAAATAACATAAATACTGGTGAGGATGTGGGGGGAAAGTACACTCATTTGCAACAATTTATATTGTTGGTGGAAATGCAAATTAGTACAACCACTCTGGAAAGCAGGCTGAAGAGTTCTCAAAAGACTAGCAATAAATCTACCATATGACCTAGCTATAACACTCCTTGATATTTATCCAAAATAACTAAAATCAGTGTGCTGTAGTGATAAATGCATACCAATTCTTAAGAAGCACAAGTCACAATAACCAAGTTATAGACCAGCCTAGGTGTCCCTCAATAGACAAATTGATTTTAAAAATATGGTATATATATACATAATGGAGTTTTACTCAGCCATAAAGAAGAATGAAAGCATGTCATTTGGATGGATGAAATAGAGAACATAAGGCTAAATCAAATAAACAAGACTTGGAATCAAGTGTTGAAATTTTTCTCCAATATACAGAAGCAAGAGAAAAATAAGGAATTTTTAAAATAGGAGGATCTCAAGAAACTAGAAGGAAGAACAAGGGAGCACATCAAAGGAACTGAGGGATCAGGAGAACAAATGGCAAAGGGGAGAAACTGTGGAGTGAAATTCACCAACTATGCAATGTGCATGTATGAATATATCACAATGAATTCCACCTTAATGTATAACTATAATGCACCAGTAAAAACACAGATTAATAGAAGAGAGATAAATAGAGGGACAGAAGGGGTTCAGGGGGAGGGAGGTGGGGAGAGAAGAAGGTAGTACTAGGGATTGAAATGGAGCAAATTATGTTGTATGCATTTATGAATATGTCAAAACAAACCCCACAGTTATGTATATCAATATAGGCACTAATAAAATAATATTTAAAAACAAAACAACAATGAAAGAACTATTTTCAGAGAAACAGAATTCTAAACTAAATGATAAAGTATATCTAAAACGGTGTGGACGAAGGGTTCCTTCAGTTGGACCATTCAGTATTGAGAAGGTTACTTTAATTTGCTAATTTTCGGGGCACAGGTAGAAAAAACAGTTAATGATGGTGCGTTAATATAGAGGACAATTTAAAAGTGCATATGGAGTCAAACCCTTCCTATAAGTCATCACAAACCCCTAGGTCATACCTAAAGATTACTATTATCCTCTAAATTGTTCTTCATAGCTATAAATAGCATATGTACCCTCTAAATTTTGATTGTCTATCAGAATAATCAATTCATCCCTAAGATTCTGACTATAATCACAATTTCTACACAAATGAACATATTATTATATTAATTGTAAGGTACCTATTAGTTTTATATGCTTTAAATTTGTCTTTTTGATTAGATAATATGTTCCTGGAATTCTTAGATGTTGTGCCACCCTCTTCTCCCCTCTTTCGCTCTTCTCTCCTTTGCTTCATGCGTGGTCCTGTGCCCCTTTCATTTCATTCCCACTCTGCTGAGCAGCGATTGCCTCCTCTCTTCCCTCCACCCATTAAAATGATTTTGCAACCATAGAACCTTCTCAATTAATTGAATAAAGGTTCTCAACAACTGTACACTGGCTCTGTCCTAGCTAAATATATTTTGAAACTTGGTCCTATCTCATTTTTCATTTTTAGAAACTGTTCCATTCTGTCTTATGTCAGTGGAGAGTTGTCTGTCTTGCTGTATTCATTCTTCATTATCTGGTCACTGAAACATAGATTCTATTTGAATCATTCCACTGGGAAAAAAAAATCACAATTTTCAGTCCTCATCATAATAGAAATTTCCATAGCATTTGAAGCAATCGACCACTCTTGCCTTATGAAATCCTCTCACTTTGGCTTCCTTTCCTCTCCAAACATATCCTCTTCTCTGTTTCCATTACATTTTCTTACCTAGAATTAAATCTTCTATTTAGATATCTCTTCTTCAATGAAGTCATCCCTGATCTCCCAAGCATGAACTTGAGACCCCTCCTATGAGTTGTCTGAACACTATTTTCCCAACAGCATGTGTTCTGTTGTACTGTAATTATCTGTCTACTTGTCAGATAATTATCTATACATTTTGGGTGACCAGAGACTATATCTAATTCAGCTGCCATGTGAATTCCTCAAAAAGACCACAATTTTCTTATCATCATCATCTTCTCCTTCATTTTCCTTGTATTCATCATCTCCTCCTCATCATCATCTAGAAAACAGTGAGATAAGAGCCTTAAATGAAATATTCTATTTAATGTTCTAATTTAAATAATTTGCACCAAAGAAACTGAGGTTCAGAAAGATCGAGTAATTTTCCCAAGAGGTCACCTAGTAAGAAAGCAAGGTTTGAACATAGGGAGTCCAACTCCAGAGCTTCCTCTCCACTCCTCCTTTACTGGAGAACGATATTACAGCACTTCATTTTTCTCCAGAGAACTATTTCTCTCTTTCCATTTCCATTCTTCTCCCAAGAGTCTACTTCTCAGATTACCCAAGCTCCAATATCCCTGTAGCCACCCATCCTGTGGCCTGTGGGAACTGGCTCATTTGGAGTTTGCCAGAGAGGTACCAAACCAATTGTGGGTCCCAGCCCCAGCTGAGCCAGGCCACTCTTTATCACTCCCTGGAGAATGCTCAGAGATCCTGCTTTCTCACTACACAGGTATGAACAGGCCTACATTAGAAAGAGAAGAGCTATTTTTTTTAAGTATTTAAGTCAGTTTGCCCCCACCCAAGTTGAGAAAACACTAGGTCCTAAGAGCCATAACAGGTGTAAGGGTGGGCATGGTGGCACACACCTGTAATCCCAGTAACTTGGGAGACTAAGGCAGGAGGATCACAAGTTCAAAGCCAGATTCAGCAATTTAGCAATGCCCTAAGCAATTCAGCGAGATCCTATCTCAAAATTTAAAAAATAAATAAATAAAAAAGGGTTCATATTGTGGCTTAGTGCTTAAGCGCTCTTAGATTCAATCTTTACCACATGCACCTCAGATCTTTACCACATTCAATCTTTACCACATGTACCTCAGATATATATCTCCAGGATATATAAAGAACTCAAAAAACTTAACTCCAAAAAGACAAATAACCCAATCAATAAATGGACCAAGGAACTAAACAGACACTTCACAGAAGAATAAGAAATATGAATGGTCAAAAAAAATATGAAAAAAATGTTCAACATCTCTAGCAATTAGAGAAATGCAAATCAAAACTACTCTAAGATTTCATCTCACAGTAGTCAAAATGGCAATTATCAAAAACACTTTCCTATCCCCTTCCTGTCCCCCCTCCCCTCCTCTCCCCTTCCCTCCCATCTTCTCTCTCTATCCCATCTACTGTAATTCATTCCTCTCTCTTGTTTTTTTTTTCCCCTTTCCCCTTATGTGGATGTGTAACCATTGTTTTTAACAGCTCAACTCACAATAACCAAACTATGGAACCAACCTAGATGTCCTTCAACAGATGAATGGATAAAGAATTTAACCCAGCTATCCCTCTCCTCAGTCTATACCCAAAAGACTTAAAAACAGCCTACTACAGGGACACAGACATATAAATGTTTATAGCACCACAATTCACAATAGCTAAACTGTGGAACCAACCTAGATGCCCTTCAATAGACGAGTGGATTTTTAAAATGTGGCATATATAAACAATGGAATATTACTCAGCAATAAAAGAGAATAAAATCATGACATTTGCAGGTAAATGGGTGGAATTAGAGAAGATAATGCTAAGTGAAGTTAGCCAATCCCAAAAAACCAAATGCCAAATGTTTTCTTTGATATAAGGAGGCTGATTCACAGTAGGAGAGGGAGAGGGAGCATGGGAAGAATAGATGATAGGGAAGGGAGGTGGGAGGGGAAGGGAGGGGGCATGGGGTTATTTATGATGTGAAATGTGATGACCATTATTATACAAAGTACAGGAATGAAGACAGGAATTGGTGTGAATATACTATGTATACAGCCAGAGATATGAAATTGTGCTCTATATGTGTAATAAGAATTGTATTGTGTTCTGCTGTCATATATAAATAGAAAAAAAGGTATGGTAATTTAAAAAAGAAAATGTGGCATATATACACAATGAAATATTACTCATCCTTAAAGAAAAAATGAAATTATGGCATTTGCTAGTAAATGAATAGAGCTGGAGAATATCATGCTGAGTGAAATAAGCCAATCCCAAAAAAACCAACTGTGCAATGTTTTCTCTGATATACAGGTACTAATTCACAATAAGGGGTGAAAGTAGGGAAGGATCAAGGTACTTTGGATTTGGCAGAGGGGATGGAAGGGAAGAGAAAGGGTATGGGGATAGGAAAGATAGTAGAATGAATGCAGCACTGTCACCCTAGGTACATACATAGTTACACCATCAGTGTGATTCTATGTTATGTACAACCAGAAGAATGAGAAAGTTATATGTATCTTCAAAATGTATGATGTGTCAAAATGCATTCTACTGTCATGTATAACTAATTGAAACAAACTAAAAACACAGGTGTAAATACATTCCTTAAGTTTGATAATTTAATAAAGTTCATGAAGAGCAAGAAGGAAAAAATATTATGGAATGTAAAAATGAGTAATGCTACTGTTGGTAAAGTAGAAACCCCATCTCTAGGCTACCCAGATGCTTGCCCATCCCCTACTGCTTCATGTGCTCCTGCCCCATCTCCTTAACATAAACTGGTTCTTTGAACTCCTGAGCACAGGGACTGTTTTCCATCCCTGGATGCCCATCATCAAGTATAGTTCCTAATGTAACGTAGGTAGTTTAAAGAAAAGAATGAGGAAGTTTGTCCATATAACCCAATGACAAGAAAAACATATTCCCATCAAAGTTTTTTTTTTTTCTCTCAGCAAGGTGGTTTCCAAAGAAATCTGGTGGAAAATTTTAAAAACTGAACTTGAATCTGTCTGGCCAGATGCTGTTGCTAGTATTTCAGAACTAGAATGGAAAGTTAAGTGGTTCTCAATTCTGTCTCCTCTAATTTTTTGAAGCAGAGAGATTGACATAAACTGTCACCCATGCCCCATATTCTATCCACATTTCACCTTGGTGCCCATGTGTGGCCCTTGTTACCCAGTGGTAGCATTCCATTATCCTTCTATCAGCTCTGTCCACTCTGGGAGCTTGTATTCAGCTTCTCATTTTATATACAGGCAAGCATCTTAACATTATTCAGTGTTTTCTAGTGACAAGGCCACACATTCCTTCATACAATATAATAGAAGGAAGGGGCAAGGTGAAGGACAGATCCCAGGGCCTGCTTGCCATCTCTCATTCTTGTTTCTTTTCCAGGTATTGGCCACCCTGGAGAATCAGTGTGCAGACACCTGACAGCCAACTGGAGTGATCTATTCCTGAGACTGATAAATTTTCTCCGGTCAGCACTGTGATACTGTCATGGGTAGATGCATAGCCTCAAAATTGAAACTTACTGAGAAAAGAATATCCTGAAAATTATTTGAACTGTATTACTGAAATTCTTTTTAACATGTGGTGACTGGACCCTGTTTATTCATTGCAAATATAAATAGGGCTAATTTTTAGAGATGTGCCTGATTAAACATATTTTACACACCCTCTATATTAACACTAGCAGTTAGAAACTGTAACTCATTTTGTGTTGAGTGTTTAGTTTTCACATAGAAGAGAAATCAAGAAAGAGGTAGTTAAATAAGATTGGTAGATTTCAGATCGTGTATCTCCATGTTTGTTATGCATTTTTTATAGGGGACTTTATTAGGAAAATTAGTAAAACTTGAATAGGGTTAAAAGATTAGAGGGCAATAATGTATTATTAACCTAATTTTGATAGTTTTACTGTGATTGTATTGGGCATTGTATTATTTGAAAAGTACTATAAGGTATTGGAAAGAAGTATAAAAATTATCTCAAGTTACTTACAGGGTAATACGAAAAATATCTGATGCACATAAAAGATAATGAAAATCAAAATGCACAACTTCCAAAATGTCCAGGCATAAGATAAGAAATCACAGCTATCAATATTTTCTCCATCAATGCCATTGACTTTAAAACTCTTAAAGACTTAGAAGGTTTAGACCCAAGTTACTGTGAGCCAGATATAATTCCATTTCTTTCTGTATTCAATGGAAAGTAAAAGGAGCAGAGAAACAACTATTCTAGTATTATTCTGTATTATATTTAGTCTTATTATCATAGTAGTATTATTTGTATTTTAATAGTATTATTTGTATTTTAGTAATATGATTTGTATTATATTTAATTTTGAATTTATTTTAATACAGTGTTAAAGATAAATGACTCACCACCTTGGGGCATTATCTCCATCTAATTCATCTCTAAAACAGCTCATTGTATCTCTTAGTATAAATCAAGTTAATAAATTTTGAGTAGGGCCCTTTTTTAATGGGGCAGCAAGTACTACCAACACTGACTCCCCACTAAGAACTATTTTCTTCCCATACTGTTTCAAAAGGTAATAACTAAAGTCTTTGCCTGGTTCAGTAATTTGGGAATCTTAATGCTTGCCACTTTCACTGTGGCTCTTTCCATATACTGTAAAAATAAATTCATGAACAGTTCTCAAGTTCAATGTTCATTCTTCTACAGTCATGGAGTGTGCTAGATGATAAGAGGAATAGGGTTCCTCAAGATGCTTATAGACTGGTGGAGGGAGATAATAAACTTGGATAAACCCCCAAATGCATGCATACAAAACATAAGCACAAAAACAATTTAGGCATGATAAAAAAAAATCCCTTTTCTCTTCCTGTCCCCTCTTCTATAAGGAAGGAGGGGGACATGCAAACTTATCACCCACGTTGGAGACTTCCAATGTGATAATGTGTACAAAGATACCTCCACTCTAAGCATCCCTTACTCCATGGCTTTGGCTTTCCTAACACAAGGATGAAGGAAAAGCCTCTGCTTCCCAGTCGCTGTCTGCCCTGTCAGCCTCAGAAGTAGAGAGGCATAGGAACACCTCTTCAAGTCCTTTTCAGTTCCTAGGTGCCAGAGACAGCAGGCTTGTTCAACTCAAGCTGATATTGATCTTTTTCCTGAGGATCTACAAATTTCTGACCTGGAACTTCTCAGAGTTTCCACATTTAATTCTGTGCCCCAGCTGACTGCAAGCTGTATTCCACTGCAAAGGGGAGGCTGATCTGCATACCTGTCAAGCCACTAACAAAGCATGGAGTTTCCAAGACCCAGCTCCTGCCTTCTTGCCCCAGTTCCAGCTGCTGCTCAGTTCAGGAGGGGTGAGTGAACTAGCTGCTAGGACTGGGGAGAGGGTCTAAGGAAAAACCATGCACTTTTCAACCCCATCTGAAATCTCCAAGTAATTTTTAATTCTTGAATCTGCTTTTCCTCCTCCATTCATTTTTACCACATACAGACTTTCCAAATTTGCTGAACCTGCTGAGCCTTCTCACGCTGCTTCTTGATATTAGTCAGAAATGACTCTGTCTACAACAAAAGAAAGAAGAGAAAAAGAAAGCTACAGGAAGAGGGCTAAAGTTGAGAACATTCATGTGATATCAAATAGTAATTAGTCACAAGAAGTAGTGCTTAAATATTCTACAGCCATTTCTAATGAATCAGGCTGAGAAGAAACTGAGAAAGTACTTATTTTCATCTTCTTCAGAACTTTCTGGATGTCACCTCAGGTGCTCCTGGAGACGTTTTTATATAGATTTTTGAGCCAGGGGATGCCTGTAGTCCAGAGGAATTTCTCCTCAGCAATTTAAAAATCTTATCTCAGATATCCTGTGTTCCTTTAAGATATTCGAATTTGGTTTGTTGAGGTGGGGCAAGAAAATTCTACTGTGTTTTGGTTGTACATCCCACAGAGCTTATCAGTTCTCCCTCTTGTTTATCCTGTCCCTCTAAGAGAAATGTACAAAATTAAAGCAAACAAAGGACCAGCCTGTTTAACACTATTTGAGGAACCTCAGATGTGAAGCTCAACTCCTCAATCTATTAATAAAGTAATTTCCATTCAAATGTTGGGGAATATTGGCCCGTCTTCACAATGGGGTTGTCATGAGGACCATATTAGATGATAAGTAGTTGGAAAAATATACAATATAAAGAAAGTGCATTGTATTTTAAAAATCTACTAAAATAAGAAAACACAGAGTCTGAGGAAAAGAACATGAGACTATTTTTCACTTAGAATTATTATTTTTTTTCCTCGATGCTATCAAAGATTTTTACATTGAGGAAGTTTCCGAATATTAATGTTTCTTTTAAAAGAAAATTTCTTCTACCACCTGAAGTCTACCATTTGACATCACATAAATTTTTCCAACTTTTGCCCTCTTCACACTCTCATCCAGTAGGTGCTCCATTACATTTTTATTAATTTGCAGAAGAGGCTACAAATTCAAGTGTAAATAAATTATTTGCGGGATGAGCTTATCAATCATTTTTCAAAACTGTTTAGACATTAGATGTGATATGACTAAAGGACCCCCTACCTGGGTGACTAACAGACTAGCAGCATGTGAGTAGGGAGTATTGGGGGCTTTAGGTAGGTATGGGATGAACTCTAATTTTTGTTTTTTGTACATAGAGCTTATTTGTCTTTCATGTCACTAAGTCACAAGGATATAGTACTTTGTTCATGCAGCACATCATAACCACTTAAGCTTTACATTTAGTGGAGTATTTTATTTCATATAATAATCCTTAAATCTATTATTAGAAAATCACCCTATATTATCCTTTTTTCTGTGTCACCATTATTTCTTATTAGGTGCTTATTTCTTCTGTACTACCGACTAAATTATTTTCACAAAATTAAAATTAAAAAAACTTAAGATTTTTGTTATTGTTGTTTCTCTGTTTTTTTTGTGTGTGTGGTGTTTGTTTGTTCCATGAATGAAATATGATGCCAATAACACAGAGTAAATGAGTTTTCTAAAAGGAAACATTTTGTTTCATATGTTATTTGCGGGTTGGTCAAGAAAATTTACAGCTAATCCATCAATTCACATTATAAGTCATTTGATTAGTGGTAACTGGCATGTAGAACAATGAGAATGCAGTTTTGAAAAATTAAATGCTCAGCTATTATACCAAGAGACCAAGAAAATACATATACATACAAGCCCTATGATTTTACTGTAAGGACTCATTCATCTTGTTTCTAATTTCAAGCACAGTGTCCAATCTAGTTGTGACTTAGTAGGTAATTTTTAACATATTCTGGTAAAATAAAATAGAAGAATCTATAGAAAACAGCTGGACCTGAGTATGCACTAGGCACGTTTTATTTTTTTTAATGTTTTCTTTTCTTTTCTTTTCTTTTCTTTTCTTTTCTTTTCTTTCTAGAAGCCTAAAGTAATTCTGTGAAGTTAATTTCCAAGTAGCTCTAAGTGTCCTTAAATTGGTGTATGGAGAAATCCATTGCTCACCGTCGTTAGAAAGCACTTGGATGAAACACACCACAGCTACTTGAAAGGGATGTGAAGTAACCTGAGTCCTGCACAATAGGCTTTTACCCTGACCACACTCAACTGCTTCTTGCAACATGGTTTATAGAGAAGAACAATTCAACACACAAAAAAAATAAATTAAACATGCAACCATTTTGTGAAGTAAGTTATTTTTATATGGCATTCTGATGGTATTTATATAATAGATACTCCATAATACCCTTTTATTCTTCACCATAAACACTGAAAAATGAACTCTTAAATCCTTCTTCTAGACAAAATGTAAAATCGAGCATGAAAATACACACTGTGAAACTAATTTATCTTGTCACACACTGTAAATTCTTTAATTTACTTCCCAACACCCCCAAAATGTTACAAATTAAGAACAATTTTCCAAGCTGAAGAGATAAGTTTAAAGGACATGGTAGAAACAAATGACAAATCTGAATTAAGATTGAAATATAGATCCAATTCTGAAAAGCATTGTTGCCTGAAGTGGGTGGGTTGTATGCTCTTAGTCCAGGAAGGAAACACAGTAAACAAAGTAATCCTGATCCAGTTACAACCAGAACATGGAGAAAACAGAAGCCTTTGGCCAGGCAGGTTTAGACAGGAACCACCCACAGGAAGGTTATTCCAAACTTTGAAATGCTTGTTTAATGAAAAAGAAAAAGAAACACTCAAAAAAACAGCTAAGATAGAAAGATCAAAGATGATATGCCTGTGAGTTGGGAATGTGAGGAAGGCGAGAAAAGACAAAGAGCTAGAAAAATGGGGGAAAATCTAAGTGAAACAATTGCACCCTTTAACTGTTACTTTGATTTCCTTGATTTCAGTTGTTATTATTATTTAGTTATTATTATTATTATTCAGTTATTATTATTATTATTCAGTTATTATTATTATTATTCAGGTATTAGCAGTCAACCATGATCTGAGAATATTAAATGGAAACTTCTGAAAAATTCAAGATGTTTTAAATTGTCTTCCATTATGAGCAACACGATGAAATCTCACCCTATCCTGCTCTGTCTCACCTGGCATGTGAATTATCCTTTTGTTCAGTGTATCCACCCTGAATACACTATATACCCAATAGCCAGATCAACTGATTTTATGGTATCTCCATGCTTGTATTCAAGTGACCCTTATTTTACTTAATAATGGCCCCATATTTCAAGAGTAAATATAATGGTAATTTTATTAGTGTGCATTGCCATAAGTGTTCTGTTTTATTTTCATTATGGTTGCTAATCTAATATTGTGTCTAACTTATAAATTAAGCTTCATCATAGTTATGAATCAATAGGGGAAAAATAGTATTTAAGGTTAAATACCATCCAATATGAGCATCCACTAAGGATCTTGAAACTCATTCCTTGCAGATATGTCCATTCCAAAGAGAAATACACACAAGATCAAAAATAAGAATTATGACTATTATTCATGGCTGGTAGTTAGCCCAAAACCTGCTCATGTTATTTTTTAATTTCAAGTGCTTACCTTCTCATAACCTTTTGTGTCTAGCCCACTTATCTACTCAAGCTGTGTTTATCTCACTCTGAGTCAACTTAAACAGGAACTCTCAGGGCCAAGCATTATCACTAGTTTTTATAAAAATAATACCCTACCATAAACACTTCTGAGTTTGCTAGAAATCTGATGATCTTAATCATCAGAATTAATTGACAGAAGAATGAATGAAGAAATAGAAATCCACACCATCCTATGTTCTGCCATTTTACTGGCCTTCTCATATCTTCCAATCCTCTTTCCTTTCAGGAGGGAACAACAAAATACATTCTCCCTTCTCATTCAGATTTACTTAGCAATACCATTGAAACCTTTCTACCAGCAATGCTCAAAGCCTCTTAGGATTGGGAGAAGGAGGAAAAACTGTAGAAGTATACTTTTTATCAGTAATTGTCAATGTTTTCTTCCATACAAAATGGAATGCTATGAATGACATGTTTTCAGTTCATTGTACATATTAAACTTCTTAGGCATCATATACAATCATTAAATACATAGTCTCAAAGAATATTTTTAAATGAAATTCTTATGTGATGACATATAATCATATGTATAATGTCAATTTTTATAAAATTAACATCTATATTCTTTTTCAATTAATTAATTAATTTATTTTAATTAAGTATATATGACAGCAGAATGCATTTTGGTTCATTGTACTCAATTGCAGCACAACTTTTCATTTCTCTGGTTGTACAGGATGTAGCATTGCACCATATGTGCAGTCAGTCAGACATGTACCTAGGGTAATGATGTCCATCTCATTCCACCATCTTTCCTGCCTCCATGACCCCTCCCCATCCCTTCCCCACCTTTGCTCTATCAAAGTTCCTCCATATTCTTAAATATTTTTCAGAAAGACACTCTTAAAGTGTCTCTGAAGACTGAGATTATGATCGATGGTTACTTTCTTTTTTATAGTCTTCTGTAAATGTATTATGAATTGCTTTTCACATCAGAAAGGAAAAAATAACTTATTTTAAAAGATGTCTCAGGGACTAGGGATGTAGCTTAGTGGTATAGTGCTTGTCTATGCAAAAGGTCTGGGTTCAATCCCCAGTACTACAAAAAAAAAAAAGAAATTTTTTTTAAAAAGTTGTCCTCAGGTTACTCTCAGCAAAATTATTTTTATAACACATGTCTGGTTAGTTTGAAACAAAACAGGTGAGAACTCCAATTATCTTTCTTCAAATATGAAATACATACTTCAGTTGTTCTTGAAACCCAAGAAATTTTATTCTTTGAGATATAAAGTATGGATTTGATTTCGCCTTGAGAAACTCAATCCTTCTCAGAATTTAAGTATCCACCCTTATAAAAGTAATACATTAGGATAAAAGTCAGAGAAGGAAATAATAAAAA